TGTGTCCTTCGATTCGCCTCATCCTTTAGGACCAAGACGAGGATGTTTGTGTAACTTTGAGTTAGTCACGTAGGGAAGTATTGACCACATCCTAGATATCATGTGTGCTGAGCCCGTGGGGTAACTGAGCACCAGGGTCACAGAAGAAAGTGGAGGCGCCCATGTAGGGGAGGGGCAGAGTGGGAGGGAGGGGAGGAAGGCGATGAGGTTACTGGGGGTGGAGGTCACCTGGGATGACAGGGACCTTGGCAGGAAGGTGATAGGTATCAAAGGCACTGAATTAAAGATACCTTTTTGTTTTTAAAAAATCAAAGCTTCTGGTCCATCTGAGGATCCCAGCGTGAGTTTCCTGAAGAATGTGGGGGAGAGCGTGGCGGCCGCCCTCGGCCCCCTGGGTGAGTGAGCCTCCTTGTCTGTCGCTCGAGGCCAGCTGAGGGCTGCGGTAACTCGGCGTGTACCTTCTGTAACTTTCACCTGGGGTCCCCGCAGAGGAATGGGAAGTTGACGTGCCCGTGACACTGGCGAGGTTTTGTCGCCTTACGTGAACCTTTGCCAAGCGCGGGACCACAGGCTATTCCAGGTGAATTCGCCGACAGATTCTTGAGCTTTCCACACGGACTAAAGTGGAATCAGCCAGCATTTGGCTGGGATAATCCCACCAGGGAGAGTGACCGGGCTATGGTTGCAGGGCTGGCCTGTCACCTTCTAACTGTCCTTTACTGGGGGAGTAACAGTCTGCATTTCCCGCTAAACTGAGCCTTGAGAGTTGGACTGGAGGACTCGAGTAGCGGTTAGCTGAGATGCCATTTATTTTTCCTCTTCGTTGGTGACCCCCAAACCGTTCCTGGGTGCTGCTGAATGCTGCGCCTGTGCCAGAGCTCGGGGGAGGGGAGCAGCGGAGGCAGGTGCTCTTCGTGACACGGCGCCTCGGACTGCACAGTAGGTCTGCTGGTGTGGGCGAGCCCCAGCGGGCACCTCCAGAGTAGTGCCTCCTGACCTCAGGTGCAGGCTCTGAGATACCCTCCTGTGGCTTTAGAAAGTGCCTGCTGCATTCCCGTGAGGGTCTGGAGGTGGCTGCTGCAGTTAGGCTTGTGGCAGTAAGAATCAGCTCACGGAGGTGACTCCAGTTCAAGGTTGTGAGAGATCATGACTGCGGACTGGGAGAGAGCTCGCCTCAGGGACTGCAGTCGCGGGCAGTCTGTCCGAAGGCTGTGTCCAGTGTCCATCAGGAAGGCCGATGGGAGGGGTGCCCAGCCCTCGCCTACCACCCCCCGCCGTGGCTACGGGGCATGCCTGCCATCCGTGTCAACCCCGCTTGTTCTGCTTTGAGGCAGCAGGGACATCTTGGCATTGCCACTGCTAAATTAAATAGCTCAGACCACACGTGGCTTCTGTCCTGGAGCTAGAGCTTTGAGAGAATGAGAAAAAAGTTGCTATTCTTACAGCCTTCCGAGGAGGGAAAACAGGAGAGCAGCGACCAGAGTCTAGTTAGGCTGTGCCTAACCCATCTGCCATTCGCTCGGGACACAGTGAAAATCTGAAAGATTGCAGCTGAGTTTTGAGGCATGTTCCTCCAGCTAATGGGCTGTCGGGGACCCTGGGCAGCTTGCGGTTCTCAGGCCTGGCTGAGCCTCAGAATCACCAGTGAAGGGCTTCGGGGGTATACGTCTTGGGGTGTGGAAACGTGATTGAAATCGTCATGGAGAACAAAGCCCTTCACTGAAAGCACGAAGGAGAGGCACGCCGGAAAGCCACAGAGCCAGGTCCGGTTCAGGCAGGGGCTCTGGAACCGCGCAGCCCCCAGCCCTTGCCTGCCTTGGTCTTGTAAGTGGGGCCTGGTGGGGCCTCGGCCTCTTGCGTTGGAGGTTTCCCAGGTGGCTCTGGGCCTGGCACCTGTGCAGGTGGAGTAGCTCAGCACGGACCTGGACCCCCCACTCTGGACACGGGAATGACGTTGGAAGTGCTCAGAGGCCGTTTGGGAAGAGGCTAAAGGCTTTAGAGTGGACGGAGTCGTTTTCTCCTGACGGGGGAGGAGCCTGGAGCCCACAGCGCAGGGCTGCGGCAATGAAGCGGACCGCGCCGTTTCGACCAACGAGAGCCACTCATGGAGTGGCTGGGACTCTGCTGTTAAAGCCACGGGTGTTTTTCTTTCCTTTCTTTGTGAGGAACTAAAAGCAGGATGACCCACACGGTAACTGCCTAGAAGGGACTGTTCCCAGAGCGGGCCCCAGGGGGACGGAGTCAGCAGCAAGCTGCAGTGGCAGTGAGTGTGGAGGGAGCGGTGACTTCCAAGAACAGAGTGAGCTCTTCTCGTAGGTGCTGTGAGAAGCAGCTGAGCGAGCCCACCACCAAGGCCCAGGACTTTCCAGGCCAGGAGGTCGCAGTCACTGGCATCTGGGACGCACAGCAGCAGGGCCCTTCCTGGCCACAGTGTCTTTGATCGGCCCACACGGGCTTCGGGGCGGCAGGCCACAGGCCGTCTCGTCTAGTGTTGTGAGCTCTGGGTTGAAATCTCAGGGTTTATTCAAGTTGGAGAAACCCTAATTCTACAGGGTGTCCCAAAAGTCTTCATACAAAGGAAAAATTTCGTAAAATTTTATAATGACTATTTTGTAAACAAAGGTACATATAGCTACAATTTGCCATTTTCCCTATGTATGGTGACTTCTGGGACACCCTATGTAATCTCTCTGCTCTGTTCACAGAAGTGTCCCATCACTCCTCCATTTTTAAAAAATGTACTATTCTTTCAACTTTTCTGTTGGCTTCCTAAAGAAAAGTTGGAAGGAGAAAAGAAAAGTGATTTCAATATTACAGATGGTGGCAGCTGTGGCTAAGCCAGCTTTCACCTCTGCTCCCCCCTCGAACGCTACGACAGCAACAGCGGAGGCTTAGACAAAGGTGTAAAGCAACAAGGACAAGCAAAAGGGAAAGAGAGAGGAAGAGATGAGAAGATGTCAGATTTCAGAGTCAGGAAATGAGCGGGGCTGTGGGCAACTCCGGAGGTTCGGAGGCCTGCACGGGGCCCTGAGGAGAGGCAAGACCATCTGCTGAGGTGCCAGGAAAGGCAAGAGGTGGGAGTGACACGGCCAGGCTACACGGGGACAGGTTGAAAACCTCTGGTAAGGGTCCCGAAGAGATTCCAGGGCCCCCTCAGCCAGGCGATGGCCCTTGCCACCCCTTGCAGGAGCCCCGGTGTTCGATTGAGGGGCACCTGACCCAGGGAAGCTCAGCCATGGGATACTGGGGACCCAGCAGAACGCACCAGCCGGACACTGGCATCGTGAGCGAGGAGTGGGCCGCTTCCTTGGTCAGACAGGAGACGGGGAGTCCCTGTTGAGGGAGGCTGAATCCCCCAGAAGAGTCCTACAGCCCCCACCAGCTGGGCCGCAGCGACCCTACAGAGGGGAAGCTAAGGCGGCCCTGGCCCCACGGAGAGGGCTTCCTGTCGGCCTCTCCCAGCGCCTCACTAGGATCAGACAGCCACGGTCGCCAGCCGTCCATGGAGAGCGTCTGCGCACGGAGAAGGTGGCCTTACAGAGTGGCGACGTCCCGAATGAGATACGAAAGAGTACTTTACCTGTGAAAAGGAGTGGGCTACTGTAAAAAGGGGAACAAAGAGAACAGAATAAGAAAGTTCTTGAAAATTAAAAAAAAAATAGCAGGAAAATGAAAAATAAAAATTTAGGAAGGCTTAGATTCTAAGGTTGTCTCAAGGAGATATTCCAAAAGCAAAATAAATAGAAATGAGAGAAAAGATGAGAAAATTAGCAGATTAATTCTAGAAGCCCCATACAGGATGAATAGGAATTCCAAAGAGAACAGAAAACTGAAATGAGGAAATGAACATGGAATGCGGGACAGCTTTTTGGCACTGTCGGGAACCTCGAGGTTGAAAGGGGCCCAGAATGCCTGGAACAGTGACCGAGAAAGACGCCACAGCAAAGCTTGTGGTTGTCAGACGCCAGAACCCCGTGTGTGAGGGGGGGCTCCTGAAACTAACTCTCCAGGTTACTGTAACGCTCGTGGGTACAAAGGGCAAGCGTGGGAAGCCAGCAGACAGTGGGACAACTGGTGACTTCAAAGTCAGTTAAAAAGGTTTTTCAGCCTAGAATTCTACACTCAGCTAAAATGATCAAACATGAGAGCAGAACAGTGTTAACCTTGAGTTGAACTAAATGAAGAAGTAAACCCAGGATGAAGAACGGAGGCATCAGGAAATGGGGGTGCACACAGGAGGCAGGGAAAGGGAGCTGCCGGGTGCCTGCCCGAGCGCTGCTGGCTGCAGCAGGAGCCTGTGCCCTCCAGGGCAAACGCCAGAACCGACGGGGCCTCTGATCCGCTGCTTTGTCCTTGTAGAAGATTGTAGAGACGCTGCTGGAGAAATGGGGAAAGTCAGCAAATGAAAAAGGCATTGTTAGTGGCAGGAAAATAGAAATCTATGCAAGGACATAATCGTGTCCACTGCTTAGCCCAGCAAAGAACAATTTTTTTTTTCTTTTTTCTTTTGAGACAGAGTCTCACTGTGTTGCCCGGGCTAGAGTGAGTGCCGTGGCGTCAGCCTAGCTCACAGCAACCTCAAACTCCTGGGCTCAAGCGATCCTCCTGCCTCAGCCTCCCAAGTAGCTGGGACTACAGGCATGTGCCACCATGCCCGGCTAATTTTTTCTATTTGTAGTTGTTTGGCTAATTTCTTTCTATTTTTTTTTTTTTTTTTAAGTAGAGACAGGGTCTTGCTCTTGCTCATGCTGGACTCGAACTCCTGAGCTCAAACAATCCGCCCGCCTTGGCCTCCCAGAGTGGAGTCTCCCTCTTTTTGCCTGGGCTGGAGTGCAGTGGCGTCACCACAGCTCACAGCAACCTCAAACTCCTGGGCTCAAGCGATCCTCCTGCCTCAGCCTCCTAAGTAGCTGGGACTACAGGCGAATGCCACCGAGCCTGGCTAATTTTTCTTTTTTCTTTTTTTTTTTTAGTAGAGATGGGGTCTCGGCCTTGCTCAGGCTGGTCTCGAACTTCTGAGCTCAAGGGATCCTACTGACTGCCTTTCCGGGTGCTAGGATGACAGGCATGAGCCACTGTGCCCGGCCCAAAGAACAATATTTATGTAGTGGTATTTCATAAACACCGAATGTTGCTTTAACCAAAAAATTGAGTTTTCTAAAAAGATAGGGGAAGGGAAGGTAAATATTGGTCTAGAGTAAGAAACAAACATGTAAACTGCAGCAGCAGGCAAGAGTAGCGGGAGCTGAGGGAGCCACAGGGGAGCTCTGGGATGCGGGCAGGGAGTGGGGGAGTCCGGGAGTATGCACCAAAGCCTCCAGAGGCCTCTGTTGGCGCTAAGCTGTGGGTGTGAGTTCTTGGATAAATTTGAATTTAAAAACCGGCACAGGTGATTCTACTGTGGGTCCCTGGCGCGTG